GTTTAGAAGGCCTAAGCTGCAATATAAATTGGAATCATAAGAAACCACAGTCCAGGAGGATTCCTTCCTGAGTCGGCACCTCTGGGATGTTTGTGGGCTCTCTGTTTTAAATGTTTTTTTCTGGGCAGGAGAAAAAGTGTTGCTGTCTTTGATTCCAGTTTCGCAGTCAAATCACAATTTCACGTCAGGTGCAATTAAAAGCAGTGCTATTAAAGCAAAGCGCTGTAATGTGACCACTACACTCTTTATTCAGCAGGGATGTTAAAATGCATGTAACTGGCTACCTGTGTAACCGCTGAAAATTTCCACGATTGCACGGTTCGACGCGGAGTGGCAGCCAGCTCCCCAGGAGCTGGTGCATGCTGGGAGCTGGCTTAAAAGCTGGCTCCAGGCATGCACCAGCTCTGCCTGCCACCCCGCTCCCAGGGAACTGGATGCTTTTAAGCCAGCTCTCCATGTGTACCGGCTCCTGCCTGCCACCCCATTCTGTTGTCTCTGTATCAGGAACTGCGGGTAGCCTTCTGGTTAACCAGTGAGCTCATGTTTATCAATTACCCATTTAAATGGTTACCCTTGCTGTGCCTCAGTGCAGATGTGTTAGGGCAACAAATGTAGACATGCCCTTCGTTATCTCATAGACTCATAGACTTTAAGGTCAGAAGGGACCATTATGATCATCTAGTCTGACCCCCTGCACAGTGCAGGCCACAGAATCTCACCCACCCGTCTTAGAATAATCCTCTCACCTAGATCTCAGATATTGAAGCCTTCAAATACTTTGAAGGCCCCAAGATGCAGAGAATCCTCTAGCTGTGATCTGTGCCCCATGCTACAGAGGAAGGCGAAAAACCTCCACGGCCTCTGCCAATCTACCCTGGAGGAAAATTCCTTCCTGACCCCAAATATGGCGATCAGCTAAACCCTGAGCATGTGGGCAAGACTCACCAGCCAGACACCCAGAAAGTTCTCTAGTAATTCCTATCATCCCTCCATTGACCTATTTCCCACTGATAATGAATGGTCAATTAGTTACCAAGATCCTGTTATCTCATCAAACCATCCCCTTCATAAACCCATCTAGTTTAATCTTGAAGCCAGATAGATCTCTAGCAGTCACCCCAGGCATTTAACTAAAGCCACTGGAAGGCCCCAGACAAGAGTGCATGAAAAAACTACCATGGGCCGCCATCTTGCTTCCAAATGAGTCTGTTCAGATGGCGGTGTTAAAATGAATACCTGTACTGTGTTCTGCAGTATTCAGGGCAATGAGAGGTTTTCTGCGTCCAATGTACATTTCCCAACCTTCTCCTCTCCTCTCCCCCCCCACTATTTTAACACAGCAGCTTTGTATTCTTGTACCAGATTGTGTTCATGTTCCCTTGTGGTGTTTAACTCTGCTATGCTCCACCCTAGAGTTGGCTGCACTTCAGGGGAAGGTGAAGTGATTCTTGTAAATTTTTTAAGGCAACCTGGGGATCTTTTGGAAAGAAAGGCCCTCTGTGAATGTAAGATTTTATTCCAACTGCACGCCTGTATTTATTGTGTGCTCTTGATATCCCTGCATCAAAAGAACATCCCGTTTTATTACTAAACAATCTACTTAGGTACCATATGGCCATTTATTATTGGAATAATCTGTTCAACAAACAAGGAGTGGCGGGTTCAGCTTCTGAAATTTTGGTTTCAGAATGAGCCATTTCACTCCAGGTGACTTGCAATTCCCTCAGCACATGCGACCCTGAAACCAAGCGGCGGTGATCAGACAGAGCTACTGAAAACAGCTCTTTAAACCAGCCAGCAGAACATGAATTAGGAAAGACAGACATTGCCAAACCCATTTTATGGGGCTCAGCCCCCAATTTAGTAAAGCACTGAGCATGCAGTTGTCCCTCCAAGTTTAGCAAAGTCTTCGTTTTAAGCATGTTTTTCAGACCCATTGACTTCAAGCAAGTTTGTGAATTAGCTCCCTGTAGACCCAAGCTCCCTGCTAGTGGCTTGGCTGCAGGGAAGATAAATCAGATCATCCAAACATAATCAGAGAATGAATCCCAGACTAATGGATACAACTCCACATGTGCACTGCAGATTTTTTTGCAGGGCCTGCTGCTTTTCACATGCTTTTCTTTGAAACGGCCTTGTGGAATTTCACTTCAAGTCTTCATTTATTTCCATCATTGCTTGATCATTTTGTTTCTGTGAATGGAACCCAGAGGTTTACAGATGGACCTTCCAGTCACTGATCAAGAAAACTTCCTGAAAGACTCAAAAGAATGCCCTTGCCAGGGTTCAGTGTTTGACAAAACTCAACCCTCTTGTGAGAGACGGTCATAAGCGTCGCTGCATGGAAGTAGGGACCTTGATTTACTCTAGACCTATCCTAGGAGAAGCCAGGTAGGAAGAGACTCTTCTGTCAAAGGGAAAATTCCAAACGACTTTATGATAAAAGATGGAGACTCAGTATCCTACAGGATGAGGACCCTGGTGCACTGAACGTCAGGAATATTATAAAAGCCATATTAATTTATCTAACCAGCTGTTTCTCTGGCACATCAAGGAGCTGCTGCGCTAATGAGGAGGCAGGAAGGGCAAGGGAATAAATGCAGAACTTGAAGACTAAGAGGAAAACTCAGAGCTGTCCCTTTTCATCCACTGAGGATAACACTAAACAGGCAAGACCACGAGGAAATTATTACTGACTACAAGCTGAACCTCTGAAATCTGGTACTCTCTAGTCTGGCAACATCCATGGTTGGCAGGACCACGGATATTGCTGGACCAGAAAGCCCGGCTGGGAGCAAGGGCAGCCAGGGTCAGGAGCAAACCCTTGGCCTGTGGCAGCAGGCCCGGTGGCCGGGAGCCTCTTCCAGGCCGGTGGCTGGGATCACGGCCCGGGCTGGCACGGCAGGGAGTGCAGCCCCGGTGCAGCTGGGAAGGCAGCCTCGGCTGGGAACGGAGCCCAGTGACTGGGACTGATGCCTCAGTGGGACCGGCAGCCTGAACCTTCACTGGTCCGGCGAACTCCCTGGTTCAGGACTGCTCAGGTCCTGAGGGTGCCACACCAGGGAGGTCCAATCTGTACCTGTTTGACTTTCTAACAACAAAAAACCTTAAGTTTTGGGCATCAGGGCTGTGATTGTGGGTAATGGCACAACAGTAATAGAGAGCAAAAAATGGTTTTAGATGTGGGGTATGTCTACACTGTGATCACAGCGTGTGATTTCTGCTTGCATGGTCAGAGCTGAGCTAGTTTTAATCTAGCTCGCTCGGATACTGGAGCAGTGAAGCCATGGCAGCAGGGACTGCACAAACCCACTCAAAACTCCAGGTAAATACTTGAATGGTGGGCCCAACGGATGCCTGTGATGCTGCAGCTTCTCTTCTGTGGGTACCCAAATGAACCAGATTAAAGCTAGGTTGAGTACGTCTACATGAGATGTGATTACACCTGATGCCTGCATTGTGGACATACTCTTAGGGTGTGTCAACACAGCAAAGTTATTTCGGAATAACAGACCAAGACTTCAAGAGGGTTCAAAAAAGAACTAGGTAAATTCATGGAAGTTAGGCCCATCAATGGCTTTTAGCCAGAATGAGTAGAAATGGTGTCCCTAGCCTCTGTTTGTCAGAGGATGGGAATGGGTGACAGAGGATGGATCTTGATGATTCCCTGTTCTAGTCACTCCCTCTGGAGCACCTGGCATTGGCCACTGTTGGAAGACAGGATACTGGGCTAGATGGATCTTTTACTCCAACCCAATATGACCATTCTTATGTTCTTGGGGAGTGAGATACCATGCAGAGGAAAATATCTTATATCTTAAAAAAAAAAATCAGTGGAACCTAATCTGAAACTACGGCATGAATCATAACTGTAAGGGTATGTCTACACTAGCTCTTTAATTCGAGCTAGGTAGGCAAATGAGGGCAACCGGAGTTGCAAATGAAGCCCGGGATTTAAATATCCCGGGCTTCATTTGCATATTCCCGGGCACCGCCATTTTTAAATCCCCCTTAGTCTGAACTAACTGCCCCGCGGCTAGACGCGGCAGTTAAATGTTAATCTGAACTAACTCCTTGGTTTGAATTAACGTTTAACTGTCGCGTCTAGCTGCGGGCAATTAGTTCAGACTAAGGGGGATTTTAAAATGGTGGCGCCCGGGAACATGCAAATGAATCCCCGGATATTTAAATCCCGGGCTTCATTTGCAACTCCGGTTGCCCTCATTTGCCTACCTAGCTCAAACTAACGAGCTAGTGTAGACATACCCTAAGGTAATAACATGGCTGGGTTCGAGCTGTGAGGGCTCATGCTATGGTTATAATACAGGGCACAACTGTGAGGTCTCATGCTACAATTTCATGCCTTAACATGATTTTATTTCTTTTCAGGCTAACCCCAGTTCTGAATTTTCTGGGTTTAGAACGCCTGGTTCGGGGACAGTTGCAACATCCCTGTTATGATTTTTACCATGCACTTGCAACTTTTATTTCATGTAAACATCATGTTTGTTTGGGAATTTATATTACCGTAGGCCCTTGAGGTGCTTGTCAAGACTGAAGCCCCCTTGTGCCAGGCGCTGTGTAACACAGAAGAGGAGGCAGCCTGTGCCCCCAGAAGTTTACAGTCCAAACAAACAAGACCGATCAGGTGGGAAAGGAAACAGAGGCACAAAGAGGTGAAGTGGTTTATCTGGCATCACACTGCAGGTCACTGGCAGAGCAGTGAGGAGAGCCCAGAACATGCTGACTCCCGTGTATTTAGCAGCCAAGATGCCTCTCCAAATGGTCACAATTGTTTTTTGTAGCTGGAAAACTTTTTAAACTTCGCTTTTTTAAACCATTAACTTACAGCGCAGCCCCGAGGGTCACAGAATAATCACACACAGCTGCATCGGCTTTCATCCACTCGGAGAACAATTCTCTAGGCTGAAACAAACTTCTCCCAGCAGAGCCCTCTGCGAGCTGCTCCCAAGAAAGGGGCAGGCTCACTTCCTACTCACCATCGACCGGGCTGAGGTAATCATGAAGATGCGCCGCGCTGGCTGCTCCCCCACTCTGCATCAGGAGGTCCCCGTAAGGATTCGGATGGCTGGCCATAAGCGTCATCTGATGATAGTAGTCGGCAGGGTTGGCTCCTGGAGGGGGAGGGGGCAAACCAAAGAGGCCTCTCTCCTTTAGATGCTCGTGAGCCACTGTGGAGGCAGAGAGTGAGGAGACAAACATGGTGAAAACATTCTCACAGTAATTCAGAGTCCGGTGCTGACACGACACTCTGCCCCCCAACTCCCGAGTCCTTTTGCTACAACTCCGTTTGGTGCTTTAATGACGTGCGTTTGGGCGTGTTTCTGTGGACAAAAGGGGCCTCTGCATTCCTCTATTTCCGCAAATTTATAAACAATCTCTCATTCCCCCTTCTAATAATCCCTCAACATGAAAACAGAATTCACTGCAGGGAGAAGGCTGGAAGGCCCAGCCGGTCTACAGCAAAACTGCTGTGAGCATTCACTTCAGGGCCTATTAGCAAAGAAAAAGACAAGGCGAGTTCAGTTAACGACAGCAGCGCAAGGAAATTAAAGCCGAGAGCTAATGCAGAGAGCTAGGTTTAGTGTCTGGCAGCGTAAAGCCATTTTGGCTGCCAAAGCCAATTACGCTCACTTTCTTCCCGCTGTAATTTTTCAACCCTGCCTCCCCACCAGCTCTCCATTAACTTATTTACCATGGCCTAACTCCCCCGCCCCCGACAATGCCCCTTTTAAAATGCCAAATAATGAAACTCACTTTGCAAGGCGGCGAAAAAAAAAAAAAAAGTATGCAAGCAATAAAACCTCTCTGCGGTATGCTGAGCGTGGAGGTTTGGAATCTTAACACTTGCTTGGGTGAGCAGAACCTAATTAACAGGAACAGAAGAGCCATATTTTAAGGTAGGCATGTGCCTGTACCTATCCAAGGTACTTACGTGGCCCCAGTTACTGAAGCATCTAAACACTTCACAGTTTTTTGATGGATGTATCTTCAGCAAGTTGAGGTGAGTTAGGAAAGTGCTATTTTTCTTATGTTACACACAGGGAACTGAGGCACAGAAAGGTTAAGTAACTCTCCCAGGGGCACAGAAAGTCTGCATTGGAGCAGGAGACTGAACGCAGAAGTCCTGAGTCCTAGAACCCCCAAATCACCTGACTGTCCTTCCTCTCTATGTAGATAGGTACAAGGGCCAATTTTGACTTTCCACACACACTTTTTATATTGACTTCTTATGGAGATACATGGTACTGAATGTATAGCTGTACTTAAAGAGGGATCTCGAGAGGGAGAGGAAACGGGGCTCCATATCTATTTATGCTTTCAAAGGCACAGGCCTGTATTTAAATATTTTCTAAAATTCCTTACTGAAAAGCTTCCCATTTTGCATTTCTCCCCCCTTCCCGACCTCACGAATAGAATGTTTAACCTTATCAAACACTCCGCAGGCCTGTGCGATGCCTCAGTTCACCGAGATGGGGAAGGTCGGAACTGTACTAAGCCGCCTGCTGCTGGGAAGTGTAGCTGCGCCCAGGGCTGCACCTAGACTGCACTAGGGATGTCAACGTGTAGTCGACGATACAATTAACTGATCAGCCGAGGCCTAGGATTATCGGTTAATCTTGTTGACTATAGTCATATCCCCCCTCCTGCTGCTTCTGTATCAGAGGCAGCAAGGGGGGGAGCAGGAGCTGGCTTTAAGGAGGCTCCCCATGAGCACCAGATTTGGCTGCCCTCTCACCCCCCTGCTGCTGCTGCCTCTCAGAGAGGCAGCAGTGTGGAGGGGGATGGGGGCAGGCTGGAGCTGATATGTGCAGGGAGTTGGCTTTCAAGCCAGCTCCCGGTGTGTGATGGCTCCACAGACCTGCCTGCCCTCTCCCTTGCTATCTCCTACAGAGGTGGCAGGGGGTGAGGGCAGGAGCCAGTGCTGGGGAGAGCTGGCTTAAAAGCCAGTTCCCTCCAGCACCAGCTCTGCAGTGCCGGAAGCAGCAGCCAGGATGGGAAGGGGGCAGGGGATGCTGCTGCAACGCAGCCCCTGTCCACAGAGAGAGGCTGCTCTGCATCCCAGGGAGCAGCCTCTGTCTGTGGGGAGCTCAGACCCTCCAGGGGCAGAGGCTGCTGCCACCTTGTGCTGCCGCCTCTGTTATCAGAGTCAACAGTTCAGGGAAGCAGGCAGCCAGTCTGCACGGGGAGCTGGTTTAAACTGGCTCCCCTCACAGACCAGCTCCCACCTGCCACCCCACACTGTTGCCTCTGATACTGAGGCAGCAGCGAGGGATAGCAGGGGGCTCCCCGGGAGCACAGTGGCTGCTGGCCCTGCCTTGAGGACTATTGAATAGTTGTGTAACAGCTAAAATTTCATGCGGTTACATGACTATTCAGTTACCCGATAGCTAACATCCCTACTATGCGCCACTTCCTCTTCAATTCTGTCAAGGACTATTCAGTGGGGATTACCTGAGGGGAGCAGAAATATGGGGAAGGAGGGGTCAGGTGGCCTCTCCCCTTACATTAGGGCACCCATCACATGAGAAGGGTGGAAACAGGAACTGGGTAGTAGCCTTTTAAGTAGTTTGTTGGTCCCCTAGTGAGTCCTGCCTGCTGTCTTCTAGTGCAGGAGCCCCATGGAGCAGCAGTGGCTAGGCCTTATGCGCTTGTATATAGTTAACAAATGTGGTTATTTGGAATCCAACTGTGTCCAAGATCTTTCCTCATATTCTGAGTGTTGTGAAAAGAGCAAAAGACACAACAAACACTTTGCACAGCTGTGGCCCTGTCACAGGGCTGTGGGGTCTCTGTGGAGACCCACTGCCAGCAAAGCTCAGAAGAGCAGAGACGGGAGTGAACGGTACATCATTTTAAACAAAATATTTACAATAGGATCCCACAGTCATAGCTCTTCTCACGCTCTGGTTTGTCCATGCAATGATGCAAAACAAATGTGTCGCTGCAGACGAAGGGGGGAAAAAACAACAACAGTTCCCTACTTGAGAGAGCAGCTGTAGATCCGTTGCAGCTGTCGATCCTGGGAGTATTGTGAATGTAGTGCTGGTGAAAAGTGCCAGAGGTACAAAATAGCTACAGCACAAGCAGCAGCAGAGCAAGCTCCTACAGCATAGGTTTGGCTACAAGCTGAAACCTTGCCTCCAGAGATCATTTCTAGGTCTACGGGTTGCCATGCAGATTTATTTTCTGCCTTCTCTGTGGAGACTGTCAAGATGGCCGCCAGCCCACGCCAACTGCCTTGGCCGTGTGGGAAGGGAAGGGAGCTGGGAGAAAGCCTCTTTCAACAGCAGCTGATGTAAGAACTGCACAACTCATTCCATGTCAGCTGTTGTGTAGCGACAGCTTTAAACACTCACATGGAGTGTCAGGAGAGCAATGTACTTACCATCCGCAGGGCTAAGGCCTCTGGCGGCCGAGATCATGGAGAGAGTGGGACTGCTGTGCACGGAGCGGAGGTAATGTTCCATGTGGGGGCTCATGTATGGGTGCGGGGGGTTGAAAGGGGATTCACCAGGTCCTGCTGGGTGAGGAGAAAGGCGAATAAGGGAGATATCGGAGAGAACGGGGCTGCCACTGAGGGCAGGAGGCCTGTGAAGGAAACAGAAAAACATACCGTGAATGAGCCTTCAATTTCATTAGCAGCTCTTCATTCATTTTTTCTTCAAGCCAGAGCACTGATTGGAGAACAGGATTTGGTGCCCAGCTGTGACTCACTGTGTGAACCTAGGCAACTCATTTCCATTTTTCTGCACCTCTGGTTGCCCTTTTATTAAATAGCTATAAACTGTGCACCTATGTATCACCGCCATCTGTGCGAGATTCAGAATTGCTCTTTTCTAGGTCTGTGGCTTATTCTGCTAATAGCTGTTGAAAAATCTCTCCCAACTACTTCTGGAGCAAAAGGATCAGAGACTGTGACGTTCACTGTGGCCACAGCACGTGGTACCCTGACATACATGACGTCCTAGCTGGCCACAAGTTTGCTATAGTAGTGACTTTGGATGGATATTGCAACGACTATTAAAAAATGTTTGCCACATGCACTGAACTCATTGGAGAACAGGTGCTATGCAAGGCGGCAGAATTATTCTTTACAAACTTTTGTTCTTCTGACTCTGAACTTTAGAGAGAAAAGATAAAGTGTGACCCTGCATGAAGGAGGAGGGGAAAGAAGCCTCCTTTGTTTTCTTCTAAACCGACTCATAGTGAGACCAGGCTTGCCAGCAAGTCAGGCAGAATTTCTGTGCTCAGAGCTCTGACCAAACTGTGAAAGCCAATTGAAGTAGTGCAGCTAGGTGTCAGGAAGAGAAGCAGGACAAGAAAGGGACATAAAATTTACAGACGCTCACCACATTTATGGTTGTGAAGGTGAGCCAGAGGAGGAGCGATATTTCTTGGTCTGCTGAGAGCAGGCCTTGAACTCCTGTTTGCTCTATGACAGTTCTTTCATCTGCCTATGTTACTAAGGCCAAGTCTCCATGTAGGGAGAAAGTTGACTTCAGATATGCAACTCCAGCTATGAGAATTGCATAGCCAGAGTTGGCGTACCTTAAGCCAATTCTCCCCACTGTGGGAGGTCGACGGGAGAAACCTCACCTGGAGAAGTCAATCAAAGCTTTTTCAAACACATTGTAAGGTTTATGTTTTTGAAGGGAAACATTCAGGTCACATTTTATCATGTGTGTTCTAGTTCTAGACTCCTTAGTCTTAAATCCCTCAGTCCCTGCTTAGAAAAAGTCCCCATTAAAATGAGAAAAGACTCAGTAAATGTTGCAAGTTTAGTATCTGGACATGTCTACACTAAGGGAAAAAAATCCTATATGTATTTCAATCCTGAAGCAGCTCCAGCAATAGTAGCAAAGTTGAAAGAGGTTGTGTAGTGAGCTCTCAGGTGTTTATTCAATCGTATCTTCAACCCTTATCAATAACTCAGTGACAGTCATGCATATGCAGTCTACCATACAGCTATTATCCTTCCTGTCACACGGGGTTATATACACAGTCTGAATTATGCCAACCTAGACTTAGTCCTGGTGTTCAGCCCCTTGAGAAAGCAGAAAAGGGAGTTGTGCCAAAGCAAGTCTATAGCACCAGGAGAGGGAATTGGTGGTGTGAGGATATGGTGCCGTAGGTATGTATAGTGCTAGATATAGAGAATACAAATGCAGTCCCTATCTTGAGTAGTTTACAGTCTTAGCTACGTACAGGAAACAGACAGAAGTAATAACAAAGTGGAAAGGTAGGGGGTCTAGATCATAGAATTGGAAGGGACCTCAAGAATTCATCGAGTCCAGTCCCCTGCCCCCAAGGCAGGACCAAGCACTGTCTAGATCATCCCTGACAGGTGTCTGTCTAACCTGCTTTTAAATATCTCCAGAGATGGAGATTCCACAACCTCCCTAGGCAATTTATTCCAGTGTTTAACCACCCTGACAGTTAGGAACTTTTCCCTAATGTCCAACCTAAACCTCCCTTGCTGCAGTTTAAGCCCATTGCTTCTTGTCCTATCACCAGAGGCCAAGGAGAACAATTTTTTTCCATCCTCCTTGTAACACCCTTTTATAGATACTTGAAAACTGCTCATGCCCCCTCTCAATCTTCTCCTTTCCAAACTAAACACACCCAATTCTTTCAGTCGTCCCTCGTAGGTCATGCTTCCAGACCTTTAATCATTTTTGTTGCTATTCTCTGGACCTTCTCCAATTTCTCCACCTCTTTCTTGAAATGTGGTGCCCAGAACTGGACACAATACTCCAATTGAGGCCTAATCATCACGGAGTAGAGCGGAAGAATGACTTGTCATGTCTTGCTCACAACACTCCTGTTATTGCATCCCAGAATCATGTTTGCTTTTTTTGCCACAGTGTCACACTGTTGACTCATATTCAGCTTGTGGACCGCTATAACTCCTAGATCCCTTTCTGCCGTACTCCTTCCTAGACAGTCACTTCCCATTCTGTATGTGTGAAATGGATTGTTCTTTCCTAAGTGGAGTAGTTTGCATTTATCCTTGTTAAACTTCATCCTGTTTACCTCAGACCATTTCTCCAGTTTGTCCAGATCATTTTGAATTATGACCCTATCCTCCAGATTAGTCGCAACCCCTCCCAGCTTGGTATCATCTGCAGACTTAATAAGTGTACTCTCCATGCCAGTATCTAAATAATTGATGAAGATATTGAACAGAACCATCCCCAAAACAAGCTCTGAGGAACCCCATATGTTATGCCCTTCCAGCATGATTGTGAACTGTTAATAACGACTCTCTGAGAATGGTTGTCCAGCCAGTTATGTACCCTCCTTATTGTAGCCCCATGTAGGCTGCATTTCCCTAGTTTATTGATAGGACAGTCATGTGAGACAGTGTCAAATGCCTTACTAAGTCTAGGTATATCATGTCCACTGCTTCTCCCTTAGCTACTAGGCTTGATATTCTATCAAAGAGAGCTATCAGGTTGGTTTGATATGATTTGTTCTTTACAAATCCATGCTGGCTGTTTCCTATCACCTTATTATTTTCCAAACGTTAGCAGATGGATTTCTTAATTATTTGCTCCATTATCTTGCCTGGCACAGAAATTAAACTGACTGGTCTATAGTTTCCTGGGTTGTTCTTATTTCCCTTTTTATAGATGGGCACTAGATTTGCCCTTTTCCAGTCTTCTGGAATCTCTTCCGACTTCCATGATTTTTCAAAGATGATAGCTAAAGGCTCAGATACCTCCTCCATCAGCTTGAGTATTCTAAAATACATTTAATCAGGCCCTGGTGACTTGAAGACATCTAACTTTTCTAAGTAATTTTCAACTTGTTCTTTAATATTCACTTATAAACCTACCCCATTTCCACTAGCATTCTCTATGTAGGAATCCCATCACCATTCATCTTGATGAAAACTGAAACAAAGACCTCATTAAGCATCTCTTCCATTTCCAAGTTTCCTGTGATTGTTTCTCCCTCTTCACTGAGCAATGGGTTTACCTTGTGCTTGGTCTTCCTCTTGCTCCTAATATACTTGTAGAACATTTTGTTACCCTTTATGCCTCTAGCTAGATTTAGCTTGTTTTGTGCCTTTGCCTTTCTAATCTTGCCCCTGCAGTCATGTTTGCTTACAGTCATCCTTTGTAATTTGACCTAGTTTCCACTTTTTATACGACTCCTTTTTGATTTTTACATCATATAAAGATCTCCCAGTTGATCCAAGGTGGTCTCCTGCCATACTTTTCTTTCCTACATAGTGGAATAGTTTGCATTTGGGCCCTTAATAATGTCCCTTTAAAAAACTGCCAACTCTCTTCAGTTATTTTTCCTCTTAGTAAACTAAAATCTGCCTTCCTGACATCACGTATCAGAAGGCAGCAAGGTGTGTGGGGGGGAGCCAGCGCTGGAGCACTGGATCCCACAGAGTTGCTGGTCCCTCTCACCCCTGCGCTACTGCCTCTGATAGAGAGGCAGTAGTACAAAGGGTGAGGGGGGCAGAAAGGAGCCAGTACATGCTGGAAGCCAGTTTTCAAGCCAGCTGCCTGTGTGTATTGGCTCCCTCCCCCTCCCGCTGGGGCTGCTGCCTTTCTATCAGTCGCAGTAGTGCAGGGCGGGGAGGCAGGCAGGAGCTGATACGCGTAGGGAGCTGGCTACATGGAACCACCTGCCACCCTCCTTGCTGCCTCCTCCAGAGGCATTGGGGCGGGGAGCCGGCGTAAAAGCTGGCTCCCCATGTGCCCCCCTCTATTAGAGGCAGCGGCATGAGGGGTGGGGGGCAGGGGAAGCTGCCACGGAGCAGCCTCTGTCTGCAATGGGCCCAGGTCCTTCGCGGACAGGGGCTGCTTTGTGGAATGCCAGTGCAGCCTCTGTCTGCAGGCTCCCACAGACCGATGCTGCCCCACGCTGCTGCCTCTGATAGAGAGGCAGCAGCATGTTGGGGGCCGGGAGCTCCCCAGGAGGGGGCCCGGAGTGCACTGGCTGTCAGCCCCGTCCCCAGGGACTATCGAATACTCGTATAACGGCTAAGATTTGATGCAGTCACACAATGATTACATCAATCAATATCTAACAGCCCTGATAGGCAGACAGACAGACAGCCCTAAGTACTCTCCTGGAATAATGAAGTCTGCCTCTCTCCAGTGTAAAGTACAGAAGGCAGCAAAACTCTACCCTTTACGACGACACATCAGGATCCAACACACACACACGTCACCCCGATTTACACTGCAACAACCGAAAGCAGAATTATATATTTTATAGGACTGAAAGAACAAACGTATAGTGATTTCAGCCTCACCACACCACCTGTGCTACTATGTCATCTTGTTACCAAAATTATTTAAGTGACTCAGTCCTTTTCCAAAGTGTCTTGTTCCAGACTGTGTGGCCTATGTATATAGCACAGTGTACAGTGGCTGGTTAACATCCTCTGTATTTCAGCCATGACATCATCTACATGAGCAGCATGCCTGCAGGGCCCAGCCAGGTTTGAGCTAAGATTTGTGTAACGGCTGAGGCTGCTGCTAATAAGTCAACTGTATGAAATCTACCAATTTATTCAGGGGTGGGGAGGGGGAAGAGAAGTGAATCAAAGCCTCTGATCCAGA